GAATAATTGTCCAGGTATATCCTGTACACAGGTAGCAGGAAAAATTCATCACAGCCAATTACTGATCCATCAGTCTACTTTTGACCATCAGTAAAGTGTGGAAGGTGTCATCAACAGTGCTATCAAGCAGCACCTGCTCAGAAATAACCTGCTTAGTGACGCCCAATTTGGGTTCCACCAGGGCCACCCAGCTCCTGACCTCATTACAGCCTTGGTTCAAACATGGACAAAACAGCTGAATTCCAAAGGTGAGATGAGAGTGACAGCCCTTGACATCAAGGACATACTTGACAAAGAGTGGCATCAAGAAGCCCTATCAAAATTAGAATGATTGGGTACTGGGGGCAAACTCTCCACTGGTTAGAGTCATAACTAGCACATAGAAAGATGGTTGTGGTTATTGGAGGTCAGCCATTTCAGCTCCAGGACATCTTTGCAGGAGTTCCTCAGGGTAGTGTCCTCGGCCCAACCATCTTCAGCTGCTTCATCAATGACCTTCTCTCCATCATAAGGTCAGAGGTGGGGATGTTCGCCAATGATTGCACAATGTTCAGCGCCATTCATGACTCCTCAGATACTGAAGCAGTCCACGTTCAAATGTTACAATATCTGGACAACATTCAGGCTTGAACTGACAAGTGGAAGTAACATCTGCACCACATAAATGCCAGGTGTGGTGCCATCTCCAACAAATGGCAATCTAACCAGTTGACATTCAGTGGCATTACCATCACTGAATCCCGCACTATCAACATCCTGGGGGATACTATTGACCAAAAACTCAACTGGACTTGCCAAATAAAAACAGTAGCTAGGAGAGCAGGTCAGAGGGTTTGAATACTGTGGTGAGGAACTCACCTCCTGTCTCCCCAAAGCCTGTTCACCATCTACAAGGCACAAGTCAGGAGTGTGATACTCCCCACTTGTCTGGATGAGTGCAACTCCAGTAACATGCATGATGCTCCACACCATCCAGGACAAAGCAGCCCATTTGATTAGAGATAGTAGGAGTCTGAGATAACAAGGTGTGGAGCTGGAGGAACACAGCAGGCCAGGCAGCATCAGAGGAGCAGGAAAGCTGACATTTCGGGTCTGGACCCTTCTTCAGAAATGGGGGTGAATATGGGGGCTGTGAAATAAATAGAGAGAGGCGGGGGCAGTGATAGATGGTGGATAGTGGAGCGGATAGGGGAGAGAGAAGACGGACAGGTCAAGGAGGCGGGAGTGAGAGGGAGGGTTGGTCATGGGATGAGGTCGGGGGTGGGGAGGTTTTTAATCTCGTAAAGTCCACATTGAGACCATTGGGTTGCAGGCTTCCAAGGCGGAATATAAGGTGCTGTTCTTCCAGTTTCTGGGTGGCATCATTGTGATACTGGAGGAGGCCCAGAATGGACATGTCATCCAGGGAGTGGGAGGGGGGGTTGAAGTGGTGTTGTCCTTTGTCACGAACTGAACGTAGGTGCTCTACAAAGCGGTCTCCGAGCCTCCGCTTGGTCTCCCCGATGTAGAGGAGGCCACTTTGGGAACAGTGGATACCATAGACCACATTAACGGATGTGCAGGTGAACATCTGTTTAATGTAGAAGGTTTTCTTGGGGCCTGGGATGGAGATGAGGTGGGAGGTGTGGGGCAGGTGTAGCACCTCCTGCGGTTGCAGGGAAAGGTGCCGGGGGTGGTGGGGCTAGTGGGGAATGTGGAGTGGACGAGGGAGTCGCAAAGAGAGCAATCCCTCTGGAAGGCAGATAAGGGTGGGGAGGGAAATATATCCTTCGTAGTGGGGTCAGATCGCAGGTGGTGGAAGTGGCAGAAAATGACGTGTTGAATCCGGAGGTTAGTGAGGTGATACGTGAGGACAAGGGGAATTCTGTCTTTGTTTTTATTGCGGGGAGGGGGTGTGAGGGCTGAGGTGCGGGAAACACAAGAGATGCGGTCGAGGGCATTTTCGACCACTGGGGGGGTTGAAATTGCAGTCCTTGAAAAACAAGGACGTCTGGGATGTCTGGGAGTGGAACGCCTCATCTTGGCAGCAGATGCGGCAGAGGCGGAGGAATTGGAAATAGGGGATCGCATTCTTGCAGGAAGGTGGGTGAGAGGAGGTGTAGTCTAGGTAGCTGTGCGAGTCGGTGGGCTTGAAACAGATATCAGTTTCAAGGTGGTTACCAGAGGTGGAGACAGAGAGGTCCAGGAAGGAGAGAGTGGTATCAGAGATGGTCCAGGTGAACTTGAGATTGGGGTGGAAGGTGTTAGTAAAGTTGATGAACATTTGATTAGCACTACATCCACGAGCATCTATTCCCTCCACACCAACTCACAGTAGCAGCAGTGTATACTATCTACAAGATGCACAGGAAAAATTCACAAAAGATCTTTAGAAAGGACCTTCCAAACCCACGACCACTTCCATCTTGAAGGACATGGACAGCAGATACATGGGAATACTATCTCCTGCAGGTTTCCCTCCAAGTCACTCACTGTCCTGACTTGGAAACATATCACATTCCTTTACAGTTGCTGTGTCAAAATCCTGTAATTCCCTCCCTGATGGCATTGTGGGTCTAGCTACAGCATGTGGACCACAATAGTTCAAGAAGGCAGCTCACCACCACCTTGTCAAGGGCAGCTAGGGACTGGCAATAAATGCTGGTGAGCCAGCAATGCCCATGTCTCACGAATGAATTTCAAAATTGAGTCGGACACTATTTCCCTTTCATGAAGTCATGCTGACTCTACTGAATTAGATTGCGATTTTCCAGCAGTTGGTATTTTCATCTCTCTACATGTGGCTTCACAGTGTCTAGTTGTGTGAGTGGCTTACAGTACTAATTTATCCTTTTCAATGACTTTTTTTAAAATAACTATTTAAAGCAATCTGTTCAGACAAGTTATGGCACACGTCTGGAGCAGTTGAGCCTTAAAGCCAGGCCCCTGCCACAGAACTTCTGTTTCGTGCTTGACAGTGAGTGGAACACAAATGAGCAGATCTAGTCACTTTCATGCGTGTCCTTCTATTAAAAATTCCTGGCTGTATTTCTTTTAATCTTGATTTCTCACATCAAAACAAAGTTCCTCTGAAACTTTTAATGTTTCAGTACAGTTTTTAGAAAGTAATTTTAAACCAAGTTAGACTCAAACTCGAGGATGGAGAATCCTTCAAATGGCTCATTTTCAGATGTATTAAATCAAACTGCACCTGGTAAAGAATCTTAAATACGTGAAGGAGAAGCCATTACTTTCGATTATGTTTTCCGGTTGCATTGGCTTTTGACAAATTTCATATTCCTGTTTACACGCATGAAATTTAGGGGACCCCTGAACTTTAACGTCACCTCCGTAATTTCGAATGCACTTTGATCACAATTTTCCGATTGAGTTAGAAACGAAAGCTACACCCACTTTTGCCCAACAGTATTTATTCTAAATTTATGTAAATAGTGGCATCGTGAACTGTTGTGATATTTGCACTGACATTAATTATGTTAATCTGTCATTTGCGGTCCTCTGTTTTCTTCTTTATTTCTTGCCAATTGCAGCATTATGTTTTTACTTTCCAGTGGGAGCTATTATCTATTAATAAAAATGTAAACAAAAACAGAAGTTGCTGGAAAAGCTCAGCAGGTCTGGCAGCATCTGTGAAGAAAAAAATCAGAGTTAAGCTTTCGGGTCCGGTGACCCTTCCTCCGAATAAAAATGTAAAAAGTGGACGAAACCTTGTGATTATTGCTATGATCGTATAAACTGTTCCGGTAGATTAATTACATCAACCTCTGAATTGTGCGCCGTGCTGCACTATGCTCCAATTTAATTATTTAGTTAATACAATGAATGAAAATAAAATCTCATGTCTATTTTTATGTGTTCCAATGTGTACAGTCCATCTGGAAACTGCTGGATTCATTTAGTTCCCTTTTAATGCACTTGCGTAGTACGTAGTGCTTCAAATGTATTACAATTATATTCGGCTGAACCGTGTATCTAATTCTAAATGAATTCGGTAGTTTGGTTGCAAAAGTTACTACCGGCATACAAGGTAACAATTTACGCTGTTTCTATATCTAAGAAAGTGGGGGTTACACAAAAACTGAAAAGGAACATAAACATGAAAGGTTCCACCGAGATTTGAACTCGGATCGCTGGATTCAGAGTCCAGAGTGCTAACCATTACACCATGGAACCCCCATTGGAGCAAGCATGAATACGCAGTTTACTCTTTGATTACGACAGTTCTGTTTGTAGGTAGATTAAAATGTAATTTTTTTATTGTACTTTTACAAACTAGGTGCACCACAGAGTGCAAACATTGTTAACTGAAATCAAAATTCACCGTGTACACCCGCTAAGATTTCAGTGTGTGTTAAAATGCCAACTTTAATGCCAAGCAATCAAGCCATTCACGAGACGTGAATTATACAAATTGTTTCTACATGCTTCCACTTTGAGAAATTTGTGAAAAAAATTAAGGAATATTTGCATAGCACCCTTAGGTTCTTAAATGGCTTTACTGTAAATTATGTTTTCCTGCTTTCATGATAATCCTAAATTAATACCAACACAGTAAAGTATTCGATTCAAACCCATGTTTTATTCAGCTATATTAAAATAGTTATAGAATGTTTCACATCACTTCACAATCCTTTGTTATTTAAACTCGTCCACAAATGCACAAGAATTGTTATATAATCTTCAGGTTGTTCTACCAGGAGAAAAGAATAGCCTATTTATTGAAGACTTGTTATAAATATTGTTATAAACTGGAAATGAATTTTGAAGGTTCATGTAGTCCATCAAACATTGTCCTTCTCGATTCCACTTCCAGCCCAAACACCCCTCAGTACGCATGTCACTGCCGGCACCGCTCCTACTCAGTGCGCATGTCATGCTCGACACCTTCGTTCCTTGGTGCGCATGTCATTGCCGGCACCTCTCCTCCTCAGTGCGCATGTCATTGCTGGCACCGCTGCTCATCAGTGCGCATGTCATTGCCGGTCTCCTAGCGACGGTTTGTACACTGTGCAGTTGCTGGTCCCATTGAAGATTCGCCTCCAAACAATAAATCATGGCCAAGGAAACTGAGGACTTCTCGCAGCTCGAACTGGAATCCATCATTGGTTTTAACGGTGGGAGGCAGCAGCTGAGGTCGCAGGGTGTCTGTTCTCTGGTTGTTATGGTCACACTCTGGGGTCTGTTTCTCCCGAAGCTGTGTCCTTGCTCTGATTGAGGACCACACGCTGTCCATAGTGCGGCTCCTGTGTGGGCCCCTACTCCTTTACAAGGGAGCCAGCCCAACTGCTCCAGCGCTTTTAAAACTTAATTGCATTCTGGGATCATTGCACTGGATTTGCACAGAAAATCTTAACAAGACCTTGCTGCTCATGCTCTGATTCTGCCTAAGTCGGCCTTCCCTCTTCCCACTGTCCTCGCTGACCTACATTGTCACCCAATCAAGAAATGTTTCGATTTTAAAGTCCTCGGTGCTGTTTTGAAATCCCTCAATGGCTTTCCCCATATCTCTGTAATCTCCTTCAAAACGTCAATTCTGCGCGATCTCTGCGCTCCTCCGAATGACCTGTTGAGCATTGCTAAATTTTATCTCCACTGTTAGCTGCTGCACTTTAAATTACCAACCCTTGAACTCTAGAATTAATTCCCCAAAGTTCTCAGCCTCTCTAGCTCTTTTTCCTTCTTTAAAGTGTACCTTAAACTCACAAACAGATAGTAAGAACTGCCTATGCTGGAGTCAGAGATAACACAGTGTGGAACTGGAGGAACACAGCAGGTCAGGCAGCATCAGAGGAGCAGGAAAGCTGACGTTTCAGGTCGGGACCCTTCTTCAGAAATCAGAAATGATCCTGCTGAGGAGGAGCGGTGCCTACCCCTCTGATGCTGCCTGGCCTGCTGTGTTCCTCCAGCTCCACACCGTATTATCTTTATCTTAAACTCACAAGTTTGATCAAGATGTGGAGGTGTCGGTGTTGGACTAGGGTGCACAGTCAGAAGTCTAACTTTGATCAAGTTTTTGGTCGCCTCTCAAATGTCTCCTTACGTGCCGCGATGTCAAAATGTGATAAAACTCCCACAAAGTGCCTTAAAATTTAAATATAATTCTTTTTTGTCTCTTTTCCGATCACTTCAGATCTTTAATTGAGCACTTCTGCAAAACTGTTAAAAGTTCATAAAATTAAACTTATTGAGAAATATCTATGCCCAACATTTTTAAGGATATAATGTTCTGTAGTAGGACGATTCAACAGAAATGACAATCCAACCGTATGTATTTTCAACTAAAAGCAAAGTACTGTGGATGCTTGAAATCTGAAATAAAAGCAGCAAGTGCTGGAGAAACAGTGTCTGTTGCGACAGAGACAGAGTTAATATTTTGAGTCAACAGGATTTGTCATCAGAACGGCACTCAATATAGACTCAAGTGGTTAGGACAATCCACAACAGATTAAATATTTTGAGAGCACAGCATAATGTAACACATAGCGTTCTTTAAAAATATGAACATTGTTTAATTCTGGTTCAGTTTAAATTAGACTGTATTTTTTTTTACAGGGAAAGTACCTTCTGGCTTAACTGTACATCCTGATTGTGAAAATATAATTTATCCTCTGGGATGTACAACTGTTGTACAAAACCTCAAGACTAGCCAACAGGCTTTCCTGGAAAGCCATACCAACAACATCTCTTTTCTTGCGGTTAGTAGGAGTGGAAGATATATTGCAACAGGACAGGTCACTTATATGGGTTTTAAGGTAAGAAGAGTGATTTGTTTTACAGACTTTTGCCCTGAGCAAATTCAATTCTGCAGTGCATGTGGAATTTAGAATATCAATAACTTGAAATTAGTCTTTTTTTTCTCCCCTTACTAAACACATTTGCAAAAATGAAATAGTTGAAGTGTGTGCAGGGCAAAAACAGAGGATTTGTATATAAAGGTTACCTCATCTGTTGAGACCCAGAATACAAAGTAAACTATCCTCCTATTCAAACATTTAGATTAACCATCTAGATTTGTAGATATTCATGGAAGGAGAAAAAAGGAATACAAAACAATTTAATTGATGGTAGCCTAAATATGGCCATTCATGCACACATTTTGGCTGCTGCTCCGGACATGAACACACCAGTTTTATCTCCTTTCTTTCTCTCTTTGGCTCCTCTTCTGCCTTCTTGTTCTCCATTTCCTAAAACCCATTAAGCCCCTATCTCAACACCCCCTCCACCCCCATCTTGCAATACCTAAATGAGTCTATTACTTGTCCTCTGTCTTCCTGCTGTCACCCCAAACTTCAATCATTCTTGGATAAGACCAAAGCTGAATTATATATTACTTGTGGCATTCCGTAAAGACCACCGAAGCACCCATTGTTTGCTGCTTATGACCAAAGGTCATTGTTAGCTATCTTTTTATCTGGTATACACAAGTGTCAAAATTTAATAACTTCCTTTCCGCACCCACTCACTTTCACCCCAATCATCACAGTGGCCTTGGGCTTGATCCACAGACCAGACCCTTGCCATCCTCAGTCTTATTGTGGTTGATCTCACTGATATCATAATTTTGACAAAATCCTGTTTTACACCATCTGCCTTGGCCAAACTACCAGGGTGGCAGTGTGCTTCATGTGATCAAATCCCATCATGGTCTCTCTACTCCTACTGTCTTGAGCACTTATTGTTATTTGTTCCATTGGACTCTTTTAATATCCTTATTTGCTGACTGCCTCTCAAATCTTCACACCGCTGTGCCCTGGTCGAATGTGTTAAGGACCAGAGCAGACGCCTCAAAATATATTAGAACATAGCCTAGACCTTAACATTTTCTTATTTTAAAGGTAAATATGAGGTCCTGTGTTCCAGATGCAATTCAATTGGTCAAACTACTTGACATTAAGCAAAACACAACTTATTCAAACACTTTAGTTAAAATACAACAAAAGAAAGACGAACTTTGAAACTTAACTCTATTAAAAAAAATTAACAGAATAATAGCTCCAGTAACTGTTACTAATTAACTGTTCTAATATAGTAACCTCCCATAAACACACCCTTGGCAAAAAGGCAAATTCAGAAAAACAGATTGTCTCCTGTGCAACCCTATCAGCAAGGACGAAATACATGCAGCAGCCTCCCAGAGAGAGAGAGAGAGAGAGAGTGTAGCAGCCAGAAGAGATTCACTGCCTCCCAACTGAGCTGACACTCCAGCAACAACTGCCGAAAGCTGACAAAAATCCGGAACCGGGAGGGCTTGACCACACCCACTCAGGCTGCTTTGTATTGTTCCAACTTTAAAAAACAGACTTCTCAGAGACTACTGGGCACCTGTCGCTCACTTTCTTTCTAAAAGAAACCAGGACAAAACACACATCTTAAAGCCACAGTATCATCACAAATGTGTGCAATCATAGAGGGCAGCTCCGAATACCAGTGCTTATCTGGGTGCGCAATGGCCTTTTGAATATGGTGCCAACACCAGTGATGCCAGTAAAAGCCAGGATATCCAAGAATATTTCTGGCCATGGCAAGTAGGGGAATTGGGCTTGCACTGGATAAGGGGGGATGCCATAGATGCATGGTACATAGTTAATGAGATGAGTTTGAGTGATAGCATGTAAAACTTGCTAGAAAACTTCCTCGAAGAGAGGAAACCCTCCATGAAATTCAATGAAAATGACACTTTGCTAAAATATGATAAGATGTCAGCCCATTGTCTTTATTGTAAAGGCAAATAACATCAGATTAACTTTAATTTAACACCAGAATTACCTCTAATAAATGAACTTTTTAAAAATTCTAAACAGAAATACTTATTTTTCATTTCAAGTCCTCAACACTGTTGATTTTGTGAACATTTAACGTAACATATGAATGATCCACTGTGCTAAGTGTTCATATTGCAATGAGAGGTATTCAGCGTAATTGACTGAAACCTGGGTATTGTATATCTTTACAGGCTGATATCATCATCCATAACTATGTTGAAAAAGCAATTCATGCAACCATGACACTTCACCAAGCCAAAGTTGAAGCATTGGCATTTTCCCCAAATGATCTCTATTTGGTGTCTCTTGGCGGTCAGGATGATGGCAGGTAACAGAGGGGACCTATTGTAAAATTGAAGTCAATACAAATAATGTGAAAACATTCCACTAACTGGAATCATTTGTAACACAAAGGAAATTTTTCTGAAAAAGTAGCTAAAATAGTCACCTGGTCTGGCCACTTACACGAAGAGAGAAACGGAATCAATGTATCAAATTGACAACCTGATAATGGTTAACATTCTTGGAAAATGTTAACTGTTTCTCTCTTCACAAATATTGCATTTTCTATTTTTATTATACATTCTCTTTACCCAAAATGCATTGTTCTTGGCAAAGCAAATGATTGTGATTGTTGAAGGCCAATCATTTCAGTCTCGGACGTTTTTAGGGCAGTTTCTTGGGCCTAATGATCTACACCTGTTTCATCAATGACCTTTTCTCCAACAAAAGGTCAGAGTGCAAAGCTTGTTAATGATTATAATATTCATTTCCATTCACAACTCCTCAAATAATGAACCAGCCAAAAGCCACATGCCACAAGACCTGAAAAACATTCAGGTTCAGGCTGTTAGATGACAAGTGATATTGTTCCACATTATTAGTCCACAATGGCCATCTCCAACAAGAAAAAATCAAACCATTTCCCGTTGATGTTCAATAGCATTGATTTTGCTGAATACCCACCATCTGTGTCATGGGAATCTCCATTGACCATAAACTTAATTGGACCAAATGTATAATGTTGCTAAAATGCTGGTTATTCTGTGGTGAGTGACTCACCTCCTAACTCGTGAAACTTTTCCACATCTACAAAGCACAAGTCAGTTGCCTGATTGCCTCAATGTGTAGAGCTCAAACAAAGTTAAAGAAACCCGACATCATTCAGGACAAAACCGTCCATTTGATTGCCCACATATACGTTAACTCTGTCCATCACCAATGCATAATGACTTCAGGATTTTCATCTACAGGATGCATTGCTGCAACTTGCCAAGAATTCTTCCACAGCAGCTTCCTAACCTGTGACATGTAACATCTAGAAGGACAACAGCGACAAGCAAATGAGTACACCGCCACCTACATGTCTCTCTTAAAGTCACATACCAGCCTGACTTACAAATACATTGTGCTTTTTTTTGTTTTGCCCTGGAACTTTCTATCTTGACGATGAAAATACCATCACAGACACATGCAGACTTCAATCAGCCAGCCTACTACAACCTTCTCAAGAAAAGTTAGGGATGGGCAATTAATATTGCCTTGCCAGTGTTTCCATCAAATAAATGGAGTTACAGGACAAAAATATTAAAATTCAGTCCAATAGTAATGAACAAAATAATAACTGTTATGTTTGCAAAAGTATCAGTTTCCTAATGCAATCTGCAATAGCTGATATGGAACTGTTTGGACATGTTCAAGTTTGGAAATGGGTTATACCATACAGTTTCTTGAAAGTTAATAGTATGATGCCTGCTATGATTCACCTGCAGTTTATAAAAAGTCAAGTTTTCATCAAATTCTATCCTTTGATTTCAGACGCTTGTGTGAATTTTCTTTTGCACTTTAGGGACTATTGTCTTTTGTGTTGTGTGAATATGTCGATGTTTGGGGTTAAGGGGATTTAGTTCTAATTCTGAGATAACACAGTGTGGAGCTGGAGGAACACAGCAGGCCAGGCAGCATTAGAGGAGCAGGAAAGCTGATGTTTTGGGTCGGGACCCTTCTTCAGAAATGGGGGAGGGGAAGGGGGCTCTGAAATAAATAGAGAGGGGGGGTTGGACTGGGAAACGTAGGTGGGTTGGTGATAGCAGGTAGGTAGTGGTGGGGATTCATCAGTGAGGTGGGAGGAGCGGATAGGTGGGAGAGATGACGGACAGTTCAAGGAGGCGGGGATGAGAGGGAGGGTTGGTCTTGAGTTGAGGCCGCAGTTGGGGAGATTTTGAAGCTCGTAAAAGTGGGTAACTGAACTCGTCCTTATCCTTAACAACTCCAGGAGCTCCCCACCTACGTCCGGTACACCACCCACACCTCCACCTCCTCCAAGACTTCCAACTCCCTGGCCCCCAGCACCTCATCTTCACTATGGACATCCAATCCCTGTATACTTTCATTCCCCACGCAGATGGCCTAAAAGCCCTCAACTTCTTCCTCTCCCACAGGCCCAACCAGTCCCCCTCCACCGACACCCTTATCCACTTAACTGAACTCATCCTTACTCTTAACAACTTCTCCTTCAACTCCTCCCACTTCCTACAGACTAAGGGTGTGGCCATGGGAACCCGCATGGACGCAATCTATGCCTGCCTCTTTGTAGGATACGTGGAACAGTCCCTCTTCCACAGCTACACTGGCACTATCCCCCACTTCTTCCTCTGCTACATTGATGACCGTATTGGTGCCGCCTCGTGCTCCCACGAGGAGCTCGAACAGTTCATCAACTTTATTGACACCTTCCACCCCAACCTCAAGTTCACCTGGACCATCTCCGATACCTCTCTCTCCTTCCTGGACCTCTCTGTCTCCATCTCTGGTTACCACCTCGAAACTGATATCTATTTCAAGCCCACCAACTCCCACAGCTACCTAGACTACACCTCCTCTCACTCACCTTCCTGCAAGAATGCAATCCCCTACTTCCAATTCCTCCGCCTCTGCCTCATCTGCTCCCAAGATGAGGCATTCCACTCCCGAACATCCCAGATGTCCTCGTATTTCAAGGACCCGCAACTTCCCCCCTTCAGTGGTCGAAAACACCCTCAGCTGCATTTCTTGCATTTCCGTACCTCAGCCCTCACACACCCTTCCCGCAATAAAAACAAAGACAGAATTCCCCTTGTCCTCACGTATCACCCCATTAACCTCTGGATTCAACACATCATTCTCCGCCGCTTCCGCCACCTGCAATCTGACCCCACTACGAAGGATATATTTCCCTCCCCACCCTTATCTGCCTTCCGGAGGAACCGCTCTCTCCGCGACTCCCTCATCCACTCCACACTCCCCACTAGCCCCACCAACCCCGGCACCTTTCCCTGCAACCACAGGAGGTGCTACACCTGCCCCTACACCTCCCCCCTCACCTCCATCCTAGGCCCCAAAAGAACCTTCCACATTAAACAGATGTTCACCTGCACATTTGCTAATGTGGTATATTGTGTCCACTGTTCCCGAAGTGTCCTCCTCTACATCGGGGAGACCAAGCGGTGACTCGGAGACCGCTTTGTAGAGCGCCTACGCTCGGTTAGCGACAAACGACAACACCTCCCAGTTGCGAACCATTTCAACTCCCCCTCCCACTCCCTGGATGACATGTCCATCCTGGGCCTCCTCCAGAGTCACAATGATGCCACCTTAAAACTGGAGGAGCAGCACCTCATATTCATCTATGGAAGCCTACAACTGAATGGTCTCAATGTGGACTTTACTAGCTTCAAAATCTCCCTAATCCCGGACTCATCCCAAGACCAACCCTCCCCCTCATCGCCGCCTCCTTGACCTGTCCGT